GCCTTGGGAAGGATGGTAGCAGCAGGTGGAGGAAAGAGAGGCCAGCCCCGCCTTGTAGGCTTCAAAGGCCCTACTGTATCCCAGAAAGTACAGAGCCATCATCAGGACGCAGCGTTCAGGAATAGTCTTTACAGAGACTATCTCTTTCAGTGCTCTCAGCAACCCCGTGAGGTGGGGAGAGTAAGTACTAATATTATTAACATTAAAATTAGACCCATTTTACAGATGAGGGAACAGAGGCCCAGAGGCTTGCCCAATGTCATTGCCTGTGAAAGGCGGCGCTGGGAATTTACTGCATCTGGGTCTGATGTTCCCCTTCCTTGCAGAGCCAAGCCTGTTCTCCACAGGCAGCAGCAACCTCTCGTCCTGACCCCAAAGATGCCTCTCCCAAAGCCTTGCAACCTGCCTAGAAGAGACTAAACTCCTCTCTTAAAACCACAGTATCCCAGGAGCACAGCCTGTAAGTTGAGTGGCTCTCGGGTTCTTTCTATGAATTTCTGAGCATTGAGAGAAGAGCCAAGAAACCCTTTCGGGAAACAATGGGTTAACCTAGCCTCCACTGACCTTTCTGGAGTGACTCAGTATTCTCAGAAGGGAAGAAGGGAGTTTTTTTGTTTTTTTTTTTTTTTTTTTGTTCTTCCAGCTTTGAATTTTTGCTTTCATTTTAGCAGCACAAAGAATGTGAAAGAGATTAGGTTACTATTAATACCATGGGTCTATCTCTAGATGAACAACTGATGGGGGGAATTGTTTGGGGTGACTGCACAAGGAGCTCTCTTAGCCTTTCTGTAAATCCAGAGGGTGACAGAAGGGCCACTGGGAACTCACCAGTCCTACCCCCGTGCCCATTTTTACCGATGGGGAACTGAGGCCTAGAGAGGGGGAGGCACGTGACCAAGGCCACACTTGTAAGTGAGGGGCAGAGTCAGGGAAGGCCCCAGAGCCCCCACACCCCAAGCCCGGATACACATGGCAGCTTTCTGACTTTTCATTCTGATGGTTTTGCTCATAGTGAAGGGTAAGCCATTGTGTCTGTGCCGGGAAAGCAGGCGTCCCTCGGCAGTGCCTCGTCATCGTCCTTGCTCTCACAGTCACTCTCACAGGATTGAGGATGCTCCCGCAAGAGATCTGCTGAAAGTGCTGGGAGGTGCTTCTGGGGGTCCCCTGGGCCTGGCCAACTGCAGAGCTGGGTTCTGTACCTCCACAAGTGAGCTGGAGGGGGAGACTGCCTTTGGAAAACCCCATCCTGCTTCCTAACCTTGGCCTGCTCATGGGGCTTTGGAGCTTGGCAGGCTCAGTTCTAATCCTTCCTCTGCCTCTCCCTTGCTGGAGAAATCTCCCCTGGCCTCAGTTTCCTCATTTGAAAATGGAGGTAATAGCACCTACCTTTTAGGGCTGTTGTAAAGGTTAAAACAGGAAATACATGCAAGGTGCTGACACACAGAATGCACTCAGTTCCCTCACATTCTCCAAACAGGGCAGCTGAGTTCTCTAAGCCTGGCATTGACAAAACCAAACCAAGGCTCAGAGAGACTCTGGTGTTCATCCTAGGTGGCTGAGCTCCCAGAATTCTCTCCTGCAAGTAAAGGAGACTCAGTCCTGGTCTGTGCTGTGGGCAGTCCCACGTCTGGGCTGTCGTTGCCCCAAGTCTGTGCTGTGCTCAGTCCCAGGTCAGTCTGGTTTCAAAGCCCCAGCTCCTTGCACTATCCCTGTACTGATGGCAACTCCCCCCAAAACAGAGGTTTTCATTCCGCAGGTGAGACATGAGCCCTAGTGTGGAATCCCTCCTGGAAGAGGGTCGGCCACAGTGCCTGGCCAAGTAGGTATTTGCACCGTGCTGAACAAGTGGGTGAGTGAGTGAGTGGAGGGGGTACAGCCACCCCCAGTGTGTGGTGGAAGCCCCAGGATTCTCTCCTGAAAGTGGATCTAGAGTGAAAGGAATTGTAGGGGAGCAGGAACGGTGGAGGACGGAGATGCAGGGAGAAAGCCTCCGTGGCAACAGAAAAGGGAGGATGAAGAAGTGGAAGGTACTTCCCCAATGGCTGTGTCCTCTAAACAAAGTCGTGTTTGGGGAGGCTGGCTCCGAGCACCCCAACACTCCCAGAGTTTGCACATCTGTGGAAAACCTTCTCGGGGCCTGATTTTCTCCAGCCCTGCTCTCCACTCCTGTGGATCTCGTATTGGCTTTGTTGGCTGGCGGTGCCCTGGGGAGGAACCAGCACCTGCTCAGACCAATGACAGGAAATAAGCCTAAACTTCTTCCCAGGTTTCCTTTCCAGCTTGTTCACTTCAGCAATTCTTTTTTTAAAAATAGGTCCACTTGAAAAAATTTTTTCTTCTTCAAAATATGTACAATTGCTCAATTGGAGGCAGTTCAAAGGCACTGGGAATAGCAGCAAAGTATCTGAGCCTCCCATTTAACGCCTAGCAAATATAAATCTTGCCCAGTTCTGTTTGTTCCAGGCTGCTCAGCAGCTTCTTCCCTGAGTGACTCACTCTAGAGTGACATGAGTCATCATCCTGGGGTCAAGGACCACACGGTATTCCCGGGTCTGTGAGACCCCATAAAGGGCAGGGCACCCAGTGGTCACCAGGAAGACATGAAGGATCAGAAACTGTGTCCTAGGCCCTAGGGCTGCCTCTGCTCTTCCCATGTGGGTGACTTTAGGGAGTCATTGAGCCTGAGAAGTAGGTGAATTTCTGGGCCCTTCTAACTTGCACTTTGGAGAGATCTCTTTAGTGGTGCATAGGATTCTGCTTGTTGCAGCTCTTAAGAGTCTAATGTAATTTTCAAGAATTGTGTGAACTGGTGGTTAAACACAGACATCATTAAAAAATAAATTATGTAAACTCACATTAAACAAAAAGGAGGTAAATACTCAAAATAACTGCTTTCTAATTATTTTACTACATTTTACCTGTGCTCTTAGGATGATTTATTTCTATTGTCTCTGCATGGTGGAAACACATATAGTGACTTTCTACTGCCCATCTCTTCTCAGTTCCATGATCAGTGAGGTCGAGTTAGTAGCTTGCCATTGGTCATGGTGGGAGTATCCATACCATAGAAATTGGCAAATCGGAAACCTACATACAAATCAGGACCTCCCCCCACCACCCAGAGAGCTGGCAGCACACCACTGAGCCACTCAGCCCAGCCCCAGGTCCCCTGATTCTTGCTTCTACCAGGGTGCAGAAGGAACGCAGGTGACTTTACTATCACCCCAAGACAGTATAGTTACAGAGATTTCATTGCCATTGTCTTTGAACAACTCTTCCCAAGTGGACCACAGACCCCTTACACTCACCACGTCCCTGACAGAGCCCATTGTTTCTTTCCATCTCTAGCCCACTCTTCCTGTGCCCTAGAGAATGGACCTCAAGCTACAAACCCACAAGTCATAGTGACTCCTTCATTTCTGTCACCCTCCACATTCAATTAGATGACTCTGAGTCCTGTCAATCCTAGTTCAGAAATGCCCTTCCTCCCATCCCCGGCAACCCTGCCCATGGCTCTGTGTGACCTGAGTCACTGCAACAGCCTCATTTGTTTCCTTACTTCAGACCTGGCCCCTTCCATGCACCCTTCATCATGATAGCAGAGCAGTCTGTCTGAAACATAAATTTGATCATCCTTCCCCTTTGGGATCTTTAAGGATTCCCTTTTACCATGGAGCCAGTTCTGAGTCGCTCTTAGCCTTTCTCTCTGGACTGATCCCCTCTATCAGCCTTCATACACCTTATGCCCCAACCACAGTGGACCAAAAGCCAACCTCCAAACATGCCCTGCTTCTTTTCACCCTTTGCTTATATCCTCTTCTGTCTTCTTTCTATTCCTTATGCGTTCCTACTTGTCCTCCAAGACCCAGTTCAAACATCCCCTCCTTCATAAACCCATTCCTCCTCTTCACCTCAGAAAAAGTTACTCCCTTCCTGTAGTAGTTTCCTACGGCATCTGTACCAAATTTTTACACATTTGGTGGCTTAAAACTGCACAAATTCATTATCTTACAATTCTTGAGGTCAGAAGTTCAAAATCCATCTCAGCAGGCTAAAGTCTAAGTATCGGCAGGGCTGTGCTTCTTCGGGAGGCTCTAGGGGAGAATCCATTTCCTGCCGTTTCCAGGTTTAGAGGCTGCCTACATTCCTTGGCTGGTGACCCCTCCTTCTCCATCTTCAAAGCCAGCAGAGTCGCTAGTATCTTTTCTCCCCTCTGATCTCTGCTTCTCCCTTCACATCTCCGTCTCCTCTAACTTTCACCATCCTGCCTCCTTATAAGAACTCATGATTACATTGAACCCGCTCAGTTAATCCGGGGTAATCTCCATCTAAGTATCCTCAATTTAATCATATCTGCACAGGCCCTTTTGCCATTTAAGGTAATATCTTCATAGATTCCGGGGTTAGGATGTAGACATCTTAGGGAGGGGGAGCAGTCAGCCTACTGCCCTATCCTTCCAGGGCACTTTGGACAGAACTCAACTCGAACTAGAATCTGAACACCTCAAGAGCAGAGACTCTGCCTTATTCATAGCTTTATGAATATTTTTATATTCATATTTTTATGACCTACATCCAGTACAGGATCAAACACAGAATAACCACTCACTAAATGTTTATTGAATTAATAAATCAGTGATATCATATTTCTAAAAAGAAGATAAGGTTTTACATTGGCCGGGCGCAACTGCCCATGCCTATAATCCCAGCACTTTGGGAGGCAAAGGCAGGTGGATTACTTGAGGTCAGGAGTTTGAGACCACCCTGGCCAATTTGGTGAAACCCCATCTCTACTAAATATATAAAACTTAGCTATCATCTGGGTTTCCATATAAGCAGGTAGGTGGCCTTGCCTGCCTCATTCTCATTGAGCTTCCCCAGGTTAATGGCCAGGTTTTTCTCTCGATGATGTACTGCAGTTTCTTGTCTTCCCTGCCACACAGATGTGCAAATTTCCCCATAGTATTCTACTAACTGAAACCTCACAAAGTGCAGGGCCTCCTCCTCTGACACCTTCATGTTTCTGTCCTACCATCCAGGTAGTCGCAAAGTAAATTTTCGAATCAACTTATCAATGGATGTTCTAGCTTTAACCTAAGCCCAACAGAAGACCACAGAGCAGCCCCACCAGCCCTTCCAGCTTCTCTCGGAATGCTGACTAAAGCATTTCCTCGAACAGCTGGTTATGTGTGTTTAAATGAGGCAGCACCCTCATGCCTGCTGTGTGGTACTGTGGAACCATCTCCTTCCCGACAAAGCAGAGTCAGGAGGTTTTGCAAGGTGGTCATTGCCTCTACACTCAGACCTGGACTCATGGCTTGATTCCTGCTCTGGCAAAGGCACAGACTCTGGTATTAGGGATCCTGGCAATCAGCACCTGGGATTGCCCATTCCCATGAAGCAGGCCTCTGGGAAATGACCCTTGTTTTGGGGAGAAGGCAGGACGCATTGCATCCGCTTGATGGGATCGCACTAGGTCTTGATGGCCTTAGCTCTTTCAGAAGCCAACACGTGGGCTGAATCTGAGACAACAGCCTCTTCCTTGGCCTCTGAACCTGAAGATGCCCTTTTCTTAGGATGGGGGCAAGGATGGATGAAGACAAGCTGGTGTTTTGTCCAGGCCTGGAGATCTGGCTAGGGCCATCTAGACCACCAGAACCCTATTGCCTTGGGTTCTTTAGAAACTTTGTTTCAAATAAAAACAAAACTTCCTTTACTTGGCAATACCACAGCCAAATAAATAAATAAATGAGCAAAAAAAGAAAAGAAAATTAACACCCAGCTCCCAGTCTGCCTCTTTGACATTTCCTTCCTCCTACTTCTCCTTCATCTTCCCCTCCCTTCCCAGTTTTGTTCTGGGAAGAGGTCATCAGGGCCTATTAGGAACCTGTAGGAATACATATAGGAACTGGTTTGGGAAAATCAGAAGGAAAAGATGGCCTCCATGGTGCCTGCCTAAATCATTCACCCATTCTATAAAGGCTTGTTAAGTGCCTCCTATGTGTCAGGTACTATGCTGGGCACTGGGGCTCTGGGGTGTGTCCGCCAAGACCACCTCCACCAGGAAGTCTTTCCTGACCTCTCCTGGAAGCTGTATTCTCTCTGGTCTATGATAGCACTATGTGGCTACCCCAGTCTGCCAAGCAGTGGTTTCTGCATCTCATTTGCAAAGACTGAGGGCTTCAATAGATAGCTTTATTTTGTATTCCAGCTGTGTGAACATAACACAGGTACAGAAAAAGTTCTCAATACCTGGTGGATCTCTCCTTTTGAAAGCAAGGACTCTAGGAATCAAGCCTCACTTTTCACCTGGCCTACTATACACCCAGCACAGCGTAGATATGCTAGCTCTTAAACTGTCTCAGTTCTGTGAGAAAGGAATTATATCTCCATTTTACAGATGAGGAAACTGAGTCTCAGACAAGCAAAGTAACTAGCTCTAGGTCACACAGTCAGAGGCAGAGTGAGGATTAAACACTGGGTCTCCTGTGTGTGCCCAAAATGGGATGTTTGCCTCTTCCTTAGAGAGGGTTTACTCCTATGCTTCTCTAATCTTAGCAAAGACACTAGGAGATGTTTTTTGACAGGGCAGGGCTCTTGATTATTCCAAATCTCAGCCCTTCTTCAGGGCCAGCAAAGCCAACAAGGAGAACAACACCAGCTGAGACGCAGTCCCTCTCCGAGGAACTAGAAGTCCTTCTCACGGCATCCCCTGGGGTAGATAGGAAGCAGCTGCGACTGTGATCATCTAAGATCAGCAGGAGAGAGTGTTCTTCCCTGCTGGGATAGAGCACCCTGGCTCAGGTCCCCGCCTCCTGTTCATCTCCACTCTGGGAATCCCAGTTCTCCGAAGCCATGGAAATAGGCCCAATAACTTTGGGCTGGGCTGCTGGGCAGAGTCTAGTATAATGCATGTTACAGAAGGCTACAGCAGGATTGAGATGGGGATTCGGGGGCAGGGCCTTCTGGGGAGTGAAGAGCAGACTGCCGTGCTAACTGCCTGTGTAGGAATGAGTTTCTTCACCATTCAGGCCTCAATCTCTCCATCTCTATAGTAAAAGCTGGGCTAACTTGCCAGCCTGAGCCCTGCTTCCTGCCCCATGAGTTCAAGTCCAGGTTGCCTATTGAAAGCAGTCACACAGTGGGAAGTTAGGGGCCTTCCTGGCATCCCAGGGCTGGAAGCCGTCATCACAACTCCCTGATCATGACTGGCTGGAGAGTGAGCACGTAACCTGACAAGAGCCAATGAGATGCAAGAAGACTTTGCTGGGTATCCTGGAAAAGCCATCCTTAACTGCCACCTTGAGTTCCAGAGGGTGAAAACAGAATCCCTCTTAAGATGGTGAGGAAGAACTTGTCTAAGGATGGAATCAATGCGAGGCAGAGCACAGCTAAGAGCCAGAAAGAAACTAGGTCTTGAGGCTGTCTTCTCAGGTCCTTACTAAGCCATGCCTGATATCCCCAAGTCTTTTCTATTTGAGAACCAACGAATACCTCTTTTTTCTTAAGCTGGCTTGTATGAGCTTTTTTGGCACTGGCGATAGAGTCCCAACTGATGCAAACAGCCCAACCTTTATAATGCTGCCTGGGGGGTCTTTCTTGGCACCAAAGTCTTCTCTCACCTCTCTGCTCTGCTGCCTACCTGAGAGTTTAAGCTGGGAACTCAGATCGAGAGCTGATGAGTTTACCCTAAATTATTCCCTAACTTAGAATATCACCATGCCCTTTTCCTCAGAACCTGTTCCTCCTTCTGCATTCCCTGCCACCATTGATGATCCCAGCATTGGGCCAGAAACCCCAGCCCAAAACATGGAACCTTCTCCCACTTCTCCAGGATGCCTGTCCCCACTTTTTCCTACTAATACACACATCCAAACTCTTAGGGCTCCAGAGGAGGCACTCGGTTTGACCAACCTCCATGTTCCTGCCTAGAAGATAGACTGGTGCACAGCAAGATATGTTTGTTGAGTCAACTTTCAACCTTCGAATGATTTTCAAACATCATTACTTCCTAGGGGTGACTACTCCACCTACCTACCACTCAGCTCAGAGTTGGATGGGCTCGCACTCTCAACCCTCCCCAGAAGAGCAGACCCCAATACCTGGACAATGGCTGTGTGAACAGGCTCACAGCCCTCTGCTTGGACCCCCAGCACCAGAGTTTAGGGTGGGGACTCCCATGTGCATGATAGAAAGGAAGCTCACATCTTGCCCACTGAGGCCAGCAGCAGGGTGGGAGCAGTTGTGGATCTTGGCGAGGGTCTTTTTGTCACCAATAGACTGAGCTGAACTGCAGGATGGTGGGTGGGTGCACAAGAAGCCACGTGATATAGTAAAACTGAGCAGGCCCTTGGTTATCCAGATCTATGCAAACAGCTACATTAGCTGAGTCTTTAGACCCAAGTTAAGAACAGGTTATGGTGAACAGTGATAAGCAATAGCAGGGGTGGGTGGAGGCAGGGAGGGTAGATGGAGGAGCCTGAGAATGGCTCTCCCAACAGCAAGCTTTGGTGATTGGAAGCACATGTATTTCAAGGTCCTGCTTTTTAAATGTGCATGTAAAACTGTGACTGCTTCATGATATGAGACAGGAAGTTACCATAGAGAATTTCTCCCCAGGGGAGTTATTTTTCCACCATGGAGAGGTGGGGATGGTCTGGGAGTGATTCCAAGGCATAAGCAGGAGAGAAACTGACATTTATTGTACCAGGTGCTCTACCTGACTCTTCAGATCCTTTATCTTAACTAGTCCTTACAGTAGCCCTGCATGGCACTATTATTCCCATCTCACAGGTGAGAAAATTGAAGCACAGAAAGGTGAAGTAATTTGTTCCAGACATCACGATTACTAAGCAACGTAAACGGGGTTTGAGCTCAGGGCAGGCTGACTCCAAGCCCAGGGTCCTGCTCAGTATATCATAGTGAAGGCTTCTAGGTCAATACAGAGCCAGGCGACAGCAGCAGCAGCAACTTCAACCAAAAATGAAACGCTGACACAGGACCAGAAGAGGTTTTTCTGGCTATGACTTCACCAGTTAATTCATCATGGGGAAGGTATCATACCTAACAATCAGATTCACTTGTGTTCTCTGTTAACCTGCAGCTTGTTATATGTACAACAGCTCTACTTAAATTAACTGGTAAATAGCAGAGAGTTCATCCAAGGGGTTAAACTGAGTCATCCTCATGAGGCGTTTTTTTGTTGTTGTCGTTTGCTTGTTTTTAGAAAAGTCTCTGAATAAAGAGAGCTCTGAGGGCAGGTTAAGACCAGGGCCTGCCGGGAGATGCCTCAGCAGTTTTGCAGGGGCTATTCTGGGCTGTGAGTGGGCAGGCAGGTGAGCAGACCCCCCTCCCTGCTCAGGCCCCACAAGGAGCGTGGGCACTGGGAAATCACTGGGTTTGCTAGGGTTTTCAGGGATCACCCTAGCAACATTGCCAATGCCTGGGTGGAGCTCCTGCACCTTGGGGAACATTTTCCTAGGGTGGCCCCAGGCTCCTTACATCAGCCCAGGCACCCCTCTTTCCTGTGTCCACAGTTGGTATTTCCTAGTTATGAAATGATTTTTTCATTAATGCTATGATAGAACTTAGAGGAATGTAGATATTTTTAATATGACAACATAAATTTATAGAACAGAAGGTTTTTTCTTTCTTTCTTTCTTTCTTTTTTTTTAACAAAGTCACCTAATTTGGAGTCACCCTGGATCCTAGAAGCCCCAAAGGTCTGGGACATTGTTCTCCTGGCTTTTCATCTCTTGTCTTCTGATCTCTCCTTCTGGAGCCCCTACACAGGGCCCTTCCTCTAGGGTTGGCAGAGTTTGGGAAAAGCAAAGGCCCTTTAGGGCCCTGGGCTGGAATGCCGGCTGGAGTATGGCTGGCAGGCTTTGTGGTTGGGACAGGCTTGGGAGTAGCAGCTCTGCTCTGCTCAGCCTGCAGGTCAGCACGGGAAGGCCCAAGTTGGGCAGGGCCCCCAGGACAGGAGGGAGGGAGCAGCTACCCAATGCTTTCCTGATATCCTCTTCTGCCTCAGTTATCTCTCAGTTCTCTCCTATCAAAATCTAGCCATCTTGCAGCCTTGTT